CCCCCACCCCCCCCCCCCGCTGCCCAGGGCCGTTTTCGTAAACGGCAGCGAGCGGCTGCTGGTGCCAAGACCAGCCGCGGCTGGCGGGGGTCACCCAGGTGTGGCTGAAGCAGCTTCCTGTCTCCACCTGGAGAGCGGGCCCCCGGAGCTGTGCCCAGCGCGGCGGGGCCATGGGGCACTCGGGCTGTGCGCCAATCGCCCGCATGTTCTGTTCCTCGCGTGCTCATCTGGTTTTGGAGTCACGGCCCCAGCAGCCTCCTAGGCTATTCTCACGCCCTGTTTTCGGGAACAGCTTGTACAAGGTAGGAATTCTCTGCTCCTTCAGAGTTGGCAGATCTCATTTGAAAAAGCATTCAAGCCGGGAGTTTTTTATTTATTTGTGTGTGGGGGTGTTATTTTGGTCTTTTCTTGTTTCCTATTTCTTCGACCAATTTTGGCTTATTTTTTTCCAGAAGTGTATCCACCTCACCCAGGCCTCCAGCCCACTCCTGGAGAGGGACAGTGGCTGGCACTGCCATGCTTCAACGTGGCATGAATCAGGTACGCACGGGCCAGTCATGGAAGCAGCGCCCTGATCCCTGATGCTTAGTGGGGTCAGGCCTGGTGGAGGATGGGCGGCCCAGAAGGACCCGGAGCCTCTGCCTTTATCCCTCGCTTCCCATCAGCACAACCAGGCCCAGCCGCTCACTTCTCACCTGTCCCCACAGGAGGCCACCACCCTGCCCACCTCTCAGGGTGCTGAGGACAGAAGTAAAGCCCATGAGAGGCAGCGAGTGCTCAGGAGCAAAGAAGAGTACTGTCCTTCCATGTTGGCCAGATTCCTTTCCCCTAGTTCTGGTGCCTGGGCTTGGAGGGAAGCCCTGTGGGGAGCTTCTCTGAAGAGGCAGCTGTGGTCAGCCAGCCTCAGTCAACCCCCACAAACTCATCTGCCCATTGACCAATTCTCCAAGGGTCAATTCCTATCCACCAAACACACTCAAGGCAAACAACCTTTAAAAGTTTCCAGGAAGCCAGGCTCACACCTGTAATCTCAGCCCTTTGGGAGGCTGAAGCAGAAGACTGCTTGAGCCCAGGAGTTTGAGACCAGCCTGGGAAACTTGGTGAGACCTCGTCTCTACAAAAAAAATACAAAACTCAGCTGGATGTGGTGGCATGTGACTGTAGTCCCATATTCCAGCTACTCGGGAGGCAGAGGCAGATCACTTGAGCCCAGGAGTTCGAGGCTGCAGTGTGCTGTGTTTGTGCCACTGCACTCCAGCCTGAGTGACAGAGTGAAACTCTCTCTTCCTCTCAAAAAAAAAAAAAAAGTTTTCAGGAAATCGAAAAGTTGGCAAACTGGTCACCACGGCACATGGGTCCTGGCAAACGGGCTGCTTCCAGGGCTGGGGCCAATCCTGCGTCCACCGGGGAAGTGGGGTGGGCCGTCACTGGCTGCTCTGACCCAAATCTGGACCCTTGCCCTCCCAGACCAGGTCTCTGTCCTGCCCTGGTGGGATCCTGGCTTAACCAGGTCTCACTCTCCCACTCCAGTTCCCCTCTCCCCAGGATCCACCCCAGACACTTGGCAGGGCCCCCACGCCACACACACACAAAACAAGACGATGTTTTAATTGTGAAACTAACTTGAGGAAGGGGCAGGCGGGGCAGGCCTGCTCTGACTAGGCAGGATCCTTCAGGCAGTGGCTCTGTCCCCAGGCCACCCGGCAGGACAGGGACTGTCGGTCCCCAGGTGGGGGCAGGGCTAGTGTTATAAAATGACAATATAAATAGACTTCTAGAAAAGAGGAGGTTGCCCAGGCGCAGTAGTCATTTGCGGCAGAGGCTGGGGTGGGCGGGAGCCCCGACCGCCTCCCCATCAGCCACAGAGAGGGCGTGCAGGGCTTCGGGAAAAGGCCACTCTTCGGACATTCATGATCAACCCCCACAATGGCTCGGGGGAGAGAGGGCTGGGTGTCACTCGAGGCGTCAGAGACACCCACTTGCAGGCTGGAGGACAGGGTGGCTGGGCCTCGGTGGGCACACACACAGCAACCCGCACATGTACGTGCGCTCGCGCATAGACGTGTGTCCACATGCCCTCCTCATGCAGTGATCCCACGGCCCCACGCTCCCGCTGCAGACTTCCAGTGCAGGAGGGCCGCCTGTCCTCCTTGGGGACAGAAGAATGCAAGGGTGGCCTGTCCTGGAGGAGGGGTCCGGGGAGCCTCACTTGCTCCCATGAGTCCCTTGTGTTTTTCTAAAAGTCACAAAATCAGAATCAGAGTTCAGTAGTTGGGCTCCACAGACCCCCCCCCGCAGGGAGGGCGGTGCCACGCGGAGTGTCTCCTGTAAGGAGCGGGGGGCTACCCCTACTGGCCTGGGTAGGGCTGGGTGACCCAGGGCTCTTTGGTTCAGGGGCAGACGCAGGACCTCATCTGGTGCGGTTCTGGCGCATGAGGGGCACGATGCTGGCGGGTGGCCCCGCCTTGGTCAGGAACGGGTGCTTCAGCAGCTCGGCCGCCGTGGCCCGTTGCGCCGGGTCACGCACCAGCAGGCGGTCCAGGAAGCCCTTCAGAGATGGTGACACCTGTGGGGAGGAGAGCGGGTCAGGAGTGACGGTCCCTGGCGCCTGCTGGGTTGAGCACCAGTCCACTGTGCACCAGCTGTGGGCCACGATGTCCTCCTCGGGAGGATGGGCTGGCGGCGCCTACTGCCCAGGGAGGGTGCACAGTGGTCACGGTGTCCAGAGCTTGGCCCATGGGGGGAGACCGACAGATCCAAAGCCCCCGGGGGCTCATTTCCTTCCCATTTTTGTGGCCTGCAAGGAGTGGCTGGGCTCTGGAGGTCCCCTGCCCTCTACCTTGAACGTGCAGGTCTTCCTAGGGAGGGGCAGGGCCAGAACCTGGCTGTGCAGTGCATGTGCGACCAGGTCACCCTGAGCACAGCCTCTGTGGAACAGTGGGGTCCACAGGTTCTGTCGTCTGTTGCTCAGTCTCCGTATACGCCTATTTGCACAGCCTCGTGAAGCCCGGGGGTGGCAAGTCCAGCACACAGCAGGCGCCATCCCGGGGCTGCCGGCGTCCCAGGCCCATTCTCACCCTGCGCTCTGCCTGGTGCCTGGCCACCGGGCCCCTTGTGTCTGCTTCCCTGCCAGAGAGAGGCCCACCTTGTGCAGGTTCTTTAGTCGGGGCGGCAGGTTGTCCCGAATCATCTTCATGGCTTTGAGGGGTGGCTCATTGAAGTAGGGGGGCTCCCCATCCACCATCTCGATCACCATCACTCCCAGGGACCAGATGTCCACCTGGGAGGAAGGGACAGCAGAGCTGAGCTGCAGAGGGGTGTCCAGGCCTGGGGAAAGTCCCGGGAAGGATGGCCCCAGTTCTGCCTCTGCCTCTTTGCCTCCGGAGTCCCTGGGCCTGGGGTACCCTCTTGGGGGTCTTGGGCGCCCAGCTGGCCCCCACACTCCTCCTCTGGGAAGCCCTCTGGAGGGCTCTGTGCTCCCACATCTACCCACCCCTCTTCTTTCTGCCACTCACACATGGTGTTTCCTCCCTCCCTCAGTCCCCAGAGCATCAGTGGTGAGTCCATGACCGGGGCTGCCTTGTTGGCACAGGCGGGACACAGTGACAGGCCCAGGAACAGGCAGGTGACACAGACTGAGCCAGGCAGGGTCACCCTGGGCAGTTCAGCCCAAGCATCTGGGGAAACAGTGGAGCTCACAGCGGGGAGAAGTTTCCCAGAGCTGCCAGGGTGGTCTCTGTTCCCCAAGGGGAGAGTCTGCCTGAGGGGGGACAACGCTGAGGTGGAGGAAGGCGCACATGGACGGCTGCCCCGTCCACCTGGACGGCACAGTTCCGGGCACGGAGGGCTTTCCTGTTCTGCTAAATCTGTTTGTGTCGTCCACAGGCAGTCCTGAGCTGTCCCCTCAGATCCTCACACCCGCCTCCCCTCCCAGTGGAACCCTGTTTCAGTCTGAGGTCTTCCACGATGTGCTTCCCAGGCGCCTTTCTCAGGGTCAAGTTGACCGACTGGGGGAGGACCCTCAGGGATGGAGGCCACAGCTCGAAAGCCTCAGGGATGGGCAGGCAGTGAATGAAGCAGCGGTGGGTGGCAACTGTGGCCAAGCTGGACACCTGCCCTTTCTAAAAGGGAACAGACCCTGAGCACTGCCTGCTGCTGGGTGGGACTGTGGCCTCTGTGTGGCCAGGTCTGGCTTTCCCACAGAAGATGGAAATGTGGGCTTCTGTGCGTAAGCTCTCACTTTCCAATGTTTGCAGGAGCATGTTCAGGCCATGCCAGCCAGAGCCTGCCAGTCTGGGGCCTTTCATGGTCAGGTGGGGCCCGTGGCCACTTACCGTTGAGCACTTTGTTCCTGCTGCCAAGCAATGGCCTGGTTCAGAACCAGAATTCAATCAATGAAGGACTGACTGAATGAATGAATGATATGCATGCTCACATGCTTGCCTCCTCTTCCATCAAGCCGTCCTTGGGAACCGTTCCTCAGGCTGGGCTCCTCCTTCCCTGCCCTCGGACTGTAAGCAGTGTAAGCCCCGTTGACCAGCCACCAGGCTGCCTGTGGACTCACCTCAGGCCCGTAGGGGAGGCGGGAGATGAGCTCTGGGGCCATCCAGTAGGGTGTGCCGACCAGCGACTTCCTTCGTGGCACCTCCTTGCTCACCTGGGCGCAGAACCCAAAGTCTGACAGTTTCACCTGGGCAGGGTGGAGGCAGTGGGATCAGAGGAGCTGGCACAGAGGAGGGTGCTGCCTGCAGGCTCTACCCCTGCTCCGATCCAGCATGCAGCCCCAAGGGTGGAGCTGGGCTCCAGGTCAGCCGGGAGTGCCACCAACCTCCATCAGGTCACTCCATCTGCTCTCCGGACAGGCTCTGCAGGAGCCACCCCATGCCCCGGGGTTCTTGGGGACAGGGGCCTTAGTCCTGCAGGCACCACAGCGGGGCAGAGTGGAGACCAGAGCTAGTGCTGAAAGCTGCCCCTGGGCCCTGGCTTCTCTGGAGTTGTGGGTTTGAGAGGAACGGGGCCCTGCAGGCCCCAGAACCCAGGATGGCACCTGTTCTGGAACCGTGGCAGGTGTCAACTCTTGAGATCTGTGGGCCTTCCTGCCCCAGAAGACACATATGGTGCATATGATGTACACACAACCTGAGGGCTCCCGGATGATTCCCAACATATCTGCAGACACGCCCTGGCATTCACAGGCTCTCAGGGCAGCCATTCCCTCTGCCTCTGCCTCTAGTGACTGGGGGCCCCGACTTTCCTTGGGGAGTGGAATCACTAACTTCTGCAAGGATTTAGTGAAAGCCAAAGACCCTCTCCCACAGAAAATTCTGTCCCCCTTGGATTCAAAATGCAGGCTCTGGGCACTGAAGGGTTCACTCACAGCCCCAGGTTCAGAACCTTAGTCCAAAACCTGGGAGCCGGGACTGGGGGTCACAGCCCACCCCGTGCGTGGCTGGGAGTGGGTATGCAGTGGGGGGCGCAGCCTTGGCCGGGAGCTGTGGCCATCTGCTCACATCCGCTCCCTCGGGATCCTGTGCGGACGGCAGGGTCCCCACCAGCATGGCCACTCCCTCCCACTGTACAGAGCTGGCTCTGGGTTGTTCCACGAGGAGCGGATGAACCTATGGCCCTAACAGAGGGGACTGTGAGCAGCAGGGGAGGTTCCCGGTCATGCGCCTCTCACCCTGCCGTCGTGCGTCAGCAGGATCGAGTCGCTCTTGATGTCCCGGTGGATGACGCCCTGGGCATGGAGCACAGACAAGGCCTGCAGCACAGCCAGGCACACGGCGGCGATCTGTTCCTCATTCATCCTGTACGGGGCAGGGGTGAGCGGCTGCGCAGAGAGGGCCCCCCAGGGTCTGAGGGGATGCAGCCCTGTCTTGGGGTGGGGGTTTGGGACCCTGTGGAGGGTTAGGGGGCAGGACTCGAAGACAACACAACCCAATCCTGGGGCCTGAGGGGACATGACCCCAGCCCAAGAGGTCTGGAGGGGACTTGGGCCTGCTGCAGGGGAGCTCTGAGGCCCCAGGTGCCAGCCCGCAGGATGCCAGGCAGTGCCCAGTGGCCAGCAGTACCTGGTGTGGGTGACAATGTCGGTGAGGGCGCCGCCCTCCAGGAACTCCATGACCACCCAGAGCTCATCGCCCACCAGATAGCTGTTGTACATCTCTACCACGTTTTCATGCTGGTAGTCCCTCATGATCACCACCTGTGCGGGGGGCCGGTCCCGTGAGTAGGGCGAGGGGCACCGCCAGCCTCCTGCCTCCCCAGCTCCACCTCCCGCTTCGCACAGCAGGGCCACCTGGACTGCCCCCCATGCCCCAGCCAAGCAGACCTCAAAGCCAGCTGAGGCCTATGCCCTCCTGGGGCACGCCCCACCGCCCCAGGCTCTGACCATCCTGAGAGGCACTGATGACTAAGCTGGTGCTGGGAGAGGGAGGCAGAGGAGTGTCTGAGAAGGCTTGAGGTAAGGACAAGCAGGTATCAGGCCAGGGTACAAGAAAAGCTGTGTGTGGGGTGGAGGGAGAGTGAAGAGTCCAGGTGAGAGACGTTCACGGCGCAGCTGGAGCATGGTGACACGGGCGTGGGGAGCACCGAGGGGAGAGACAAGGAGGCAGAGCTGTGTGGGAAACCTTCAGGCCCGACATCCTCCTGGGCCTCACGCCTTGAGGAGGGGCTTCTCACATAGATTCCTCTAGGGAAGCAGCCAGGGTCTGCCTCTGAATAAGTCCCCCGGCCAAGAGGCCACCCAGAGCCAAAGCCGGAAGTTGGGCGTCCGATCCAGAAGGGCCTCGAACGGTAGGCCTGCATGTCGGGAAGAGCCCTTCGGCTATTATGTGGGAATGCCCAGAGGGGAGGTTGAGGCAAGGACTTCCAGTGAGAGGGGATGGACTGCATGGAGGTGGTGCAGGGCGGGGACAGTCTCAGGGCTACAGGCTGGAGGCAGGGCCTGCCAGGGTCCAGGGCTCTGGCACAAGGTGGGGATCCTGAGGACCAGCAGGTGCGGAAGAGACACTGCGCTTGCGGCCAGGTAGGGCTCGGCGGGTGGGAGAGGCCTGGAGGAGACTGGGGGAAGGGCAGTGGGCTGAGGGACTTGGGTGGGGGCTTTAGGGGTCAGAATGGTGACGCAGACGTGGGGGTGGGCACTGTGGGGACAGAGGCAGG